CTTCCTCTCCACCTCCCCAGGGATCCTTCCTCTCCACCTCCCCAGGGATCCTTCCTCTCCACCTCCCCAGGGATCCTTCCTCTCCACCTCCCCAGCACCATGATTACAGTCATGTTGCTGTACCCAGGTTTTTATGTGGGTGCTTGGAATCCAAACACAGGTCCTTACACGCTTGAGTGGCCAGCACTTTTCCAAGTAAATTGTCTTCCTAACCCCACTGAATCCTCTTCCTAAGCAACCCTAAAATATGGGCATTCCGGAAGACTGCACTGCCCTCTACTCTTTGTAGACGTTCATCAGTAACCCATGGCCTCATACTCTCTATTGACTGACAGCTCCTTAAAGAATTTACTCAAAGTCTTGGAGCACCCTGGAACTTGACAACTGTAAATCCTACTCCTTTATAAAGCTTCATGACCTTGACAAAGGCAATGCACCACCATCTATAGTGGGATTTGATGCCCTCTTCTGGAATAAATGCATACAGGCAGATAGAGCACTCATATACACAAAATAAATAAATGAATCTTTAAAAAAAAGATTTTGTACAGATTAACCACTACCTCATACTCCCCACAAAACAAATAATCCACCATGAAGTAGAGTTCAGGCCTCCACAATGCTCCACAAAAGAATGGGCTTTTCTGCTGCTAAAAGTACATGACTAAATATATGTCCTAATTGCTTTTCCTTTTAGACACAACCCCTATGCATTTTTTAAACCATCATTTGATAGGGCACCTCAACTACAGAGAGCGTTGTTTGTGAGGATGGTCGCCTGCCCCGTCCTAAGAAAAATCAGAAATCTATGTGAAGTAAAAATGAGATCTTTCTGAAAAGCTCACTGAGCTTTAGTTAGCTGTCAGCCTGACACAAGCTACAATCACCCTGGAGGAGTTTTAATTACAGAGCTGTCTGCATTAGGTTGGCTGTGGGCATGTCTGTCAGGTATCTTCTTAATTGTTAATTGAGGTGGGAAGACTGACTCTGACACCGCTCTATGGCTGGGCCTGAACTGTGGAAGTGAAGAAAGCTGCCTGAGCACGGACAGCAGCAGCGAGCAAGGCTGCCTAGTCTCGCTTTGCTCTGACTGTGGATGTAATAACAGAGCTGAAAATTCTCTCTTCACTCCCCAAATGATGAACTGTAACTTGGAAATGTGGCCAAATAACCCCTTTCTCTAAACACACACACACACACACACACACACACACACACACACACACACACACACACACACCACTTTACCCTTAAGCTGCTGTGAGCTTGAGGCAAGACTAGGCTATATAGCAAGACCATCTCAACTGCTCCCCTACCAAATGTATTTTGTTGCTTTTAGTCAAGGGAAATGTGAAGAAGAAATAGCTACAGAATCTGTAGTCTGAGAGAGTTATGAATCTCACTAGTGAAGGATATGTGGGTTATTATTGGATCTACAATGGTGTCCTGCTTGTAAGATATTCTAAGAACAATGGTGTATAATGTTCTATTAGTTACTTAATATAGTTCACTAATATTACTCATATCCTATCTCTAATTACCTTACAATTGAAATGTTCTGGAAGAATGAACATCTTTCCTGATCTTCTATACACTATACAACAGTAACAAACTCACGTAAATAAAGCCCAAAGATAGAGCAGCTGAGTTATACAGATGGTATTGCATGAGAGTATAAACAGATTAAGGCATATTACTCACAAAATTAACAAAATATATTTTGTTGCTTCTATTAAGGGAAATGTGAAGATAAAATAGCTATAGAATTTGTAGTCTGAGAGTTATGAATCTTTTTTAAATTTTATAATTAATTTAACTTTACATATCAGCCACGGATTCCTCTGTCCTCCCTCCTCCCACCCCACCCCCACCTTCTCCCCAATCCACCTCCCATCCCCACCTCCTCCAAGGCAAGGTCTCCCCTGGGGAGTCACCTCAGCCTGGTAGATTCAGTTGAGGCAGGTCCAGTCCCCTCCTCCCTTTACCCAGGCTGAGCAAAGTGTCCCTGCATAGGCCCTAGGTTCCAAAAAGCTCATGCACTAAGGACAGGTCCCGGCTCCACCGCCTGGGAGCCTCCCAAACAGTTCAAGCTAATCGACTGTCTCACTTATCCAGAGGGCCTGGTCCAGTTCCACGGGGGCTCCTCAGCTATTGGTTCATAGTTCATGTGCTTCCACTAGTTTGGCTATTTGTCCCTGTGTTTTTTCCAATTATGGTCTCAATATCTCTTGCTCATATAATCCCTCCTCTCTCTCACCGATTGGACTCCTGGAGCTCCACCTGAGGCTTGGCCGTGGATCTCTGCATCTGCTTCCATCAGTCACTGGTTGAGAGTTCTATCATGTTAGGGTGTTCGGCCATCCTATCACCAGTAGGTCATTTCAGGCAGTCTCTCGACCATTTCCAGCAGTCTATTGTGGAGGTGTCTTTGTGGATTTCTGTGGACCTCTCTAGCACTCTGCTTCCTCCTATCCCCATGGGGTCTTCATTTATCATGGCATCATTTTCTTTGTTCTCCCTCTCTGTTCTTGATCCAGCTGGGATCTCCCGCTCCCCTAAGCTCTCTTTCCCTCAAACCTTGCCCTTCATTATCCCCCTCACGTCCAGTTTGCTCATAAAGATCTCATCCATTTCTCTGTCGTTGGGTGATCCCTATGTCTTTCTTAGGGTCCTCTTTACTAGGCAGCCTCCCTGGAGTTGTGAGTAGCAGTCTTGTCATCCTTTGTTTTACATCCAGTGTCCTCCTATGAGTGAGTACATACCATGTTTGTCTTTCTGAGTCTGGGTTACCTCACTCAGGATGATTTGAGTTATGAATCTCACTAGTGAAGGATATGTGGGTTATTATTGGATCTACAGTGGTGTCCTGCTTGTAAGATATTCTAAGAATAATGGTGGCACAAAGCTTGTTGGAATCACTAACCAAGAACTGGTGTGACTTAAGGGCCACTCCCAAAATGGAACCTGTACTCAACACTGCTTGGGTGACCAAGAACCGGAGGTTAAACAGCCCAGGTACCTAGGGTAAAACCAAATAGTTCTGGTCTAAAACAAGAACAGGAAAAAGCCATAGTAATAACATGGCTCCTAATGACATCCTGCTGTACTCATAGAGCAGTGCCTTGATCAGCCATCCCCAGAGAGGCTTAGGAACAAGCCTACAGCAGATGGGAACATATACAGAGACCACAGCCAGACATTAAACAGGAAGTGAGAGACCTTGGAACGCTAGGTCCTAAACAGGATGTCTCTCTCCATCAAATCCCTCCACAGAGCTCAGGGAACCCCATGGAAGAGGAAGCAAAAAGAGAATAAGAGCCAGAGGGGATGGAGGACACCAAGAAAACAAGACCCTCTAAATCAACACGAGCAAAGCTCACATGAGCTCACTGAGACTGAAGCAGCATGCACAGGACCTGGGATCATGGCTTCCAATTTAGTGTTTTATGGGATTCCCGATTGTGAGAATGAGTGGGTCTCTGTTTCTTGTGCCTTCTCGGGCTCTGTTTATTTTTATCCAATTCTAATACGTTAGCTTTTGTTTTATCTTATATTTTACTTTGTTATATCTTCATATTATCTCATAGAAGCTGCTCTATTCTAATGACAGACAGTAAGGGACTGGCTCCAGAGAGGAGGGGAGGTGGGTGGGAAGGAACTGGGAGGCAGAGAGGGAGGGAAAACTATAATTAGGATATATTATGAGAAAAGAATCTATTTTCAATAAAAGGGGGGAAAAGGAAGATATGTGGATTATTTTTGATTCCCAGAGAAAAACAAGTGCAGAAAAGACATTTTGGACATGGTAAGGTATGTTTCATAATCCAGTAATTTCTGGGTCACAGTCACACCGTTTTGTTCACTGTGAGACACACATGTAAGGGACTGATAGGAGGAAAGTGTCAGGAAGAACAGCTGACACTTTCTCAGCGGGGGTGAAGGCTGCTTCTGAGCACTCCTTACCACAAGCCTCTCTTCCTCCGTCCCTCTGAGCACTTGACCCCTCCAGCCCTGGCTCTCCCTCTCTCTGGTTTGTGGGATCACTGCAGTGTCTCTTGCATCTACCCGCAAGCACAGGGGAGGCGGCCTCACTCTACACATGCTCCAGTGATTGCATCTGTTCTCACGTCGACTGCTCCATTTGCTTCTGAGTTCTCAGTCTACAAGTCTCCTCCCGATCTCTGGAGTTCAAGTCTTCAACTGATCATTACTACCTAGCTCATAATAAGTCTTTCAAATTCAACTTGGCTATCATGAGATGCACTGTCTTCCCTACCAAATCCACCATTAGTACCATCTCTCCTGTACTAAAATTACACATTTGGGAGACATCTTAAGACTCTTTTCTTCTTCAGACCTCAACTTCTAATCAATTACAAGTTCAGACAAAACATTAATTTCCACAAATGATATTTTCCAGGCTTGAAAATGTTAGGATCCACCAGACAGAATACTCACAAATATAAAATGAACAAATTTTCTTGTAGCATTAGAAAACTATTAAATATACCAGAAACTACAATTATCTAAGTTGCAGACAGAAGGCATGAAGGTCAAAGGGGTCTTGGAACCGAGGAAGCGTTCTTATTACCTTTCCCAGTTATAGAGATTAATGTTGATCTGGATTGCTTGATAAATGAGGCCAGCCTGGAGAAGTAATGTCTCAGCCTCCTGTATGTTCCCACTAAACATTAGTATGTGGGCCATTTTTGACTCTTTAGATGGAAGATCTTTTATAGCATTGATGTATCGAACTTTATCAATCTAAAAAAGGGAGAGAAACATATCACAAGTCAGTAATAATACAAATATAATAAGTTATGTTAAGAAAAAACTCATGTGGCCAGGCAGCGATGGCACACGCCTTTAATCCCAGCACTCGGGAGGGAAAGCCAGGCAGATCTCTGTGAGTTCGAGGCCAGCCTAGTCTACAGAGCGAGATCCAGGACAGGCACCAAAACTGTACAGAGAAACCCTGTCTCGAAAAACCAAAAAGAAAAAAGAAGAAACTCATGTACACATACACAGATATGATTTCCTTACTTCACCAATTGCCGCGTAGGCTATCTCCGCAGTAATCATATCTCGATTAGCAACCGCCATAGCCGCCAGGCAAGCCCACATGCTTTGCTCCTAAAGTGAAATACAGAGGAGGTATCTTAAGTAGGCAGCCAAACTACCTGTAAGCAGTGGTTTGAATTCTAAGGGTGATACAACTAAGTAATTAATTTACCAACAAAATATTATGAAACATGACATTGAAAAAAACTAATAATAAAAAAGTTATATAGAAGCCAGGCATGGTAGCACACTTTTAATCTCAGCACTTGGGAGACAGAGGTAGGCAGGTGTCTGTGAGTTCAAGGCCAGTCTGGCCTACACAGCAAGTTCAAGGCAAGCTGGGGCTACATAGTAAGACCCTTTCTCAAAAAAAAAAAGAAAAAAAATTCACTGTAGGTTTCTATTTTAAAAACATTATCATCACAAAGAGAACTTCTTTTGAACATAATTTTTTATTTCTAGTTACTAAGGATTTCTTTTCTACTTTATAACTCAAGATGATGAGTTTCCACTTTTTTTAAAGAAGTGACAAGAAATATAACTTACAGGGAATAAGAGGAATAGTGAGGTTCTCACACAATGCCACCAATAAGCCGGTATAAAGAAAAACATCTAAATGCCATTTCAGAAATACGTATCTAAGGAATGTTACCTGGCAGTCAATAAGAAGGGCCGTGTTCAAGCATGTTTGGAAGACACTGGGTATAACCAAGTTAGGAAATGGTGATCTAAAACAAAGATTTGTTTGTTTTGTTCTTTTGGGTTTTTTTCAAGATAAGTTTTCTCTGTGTAACCCTGACTGCCCTGGAACTCACTCTGTAGACCAAGCTGGACTCGAACTCAGAGATCCACCTGCATCTACCTCAGGAGTGCTGGGATTAAAGGCACAGTACTTATAAAATAAACACTTTTAACCTTAGCTATAAAAAAGAATATTTGAGGCGGCTGAGAAGTATATAACCCAGCTTCCACTCAGATCTCATGAGTCAGAGCCCCACTGAGGGAGAACTTGGGAACCTGACTTCTGGAAAGAGCCACCGAATGGTTCCGTGTGCAGTGGAGAGCACCTACTCATCTAGAGACAGCTCCTCAGAGGACAGTGCAAAAATCTACTCCTCTGTACTCCACAAATTGTTCGAGGAGAGAACTAAAGATATGGTCCTGTTCACAGCGTTCCTAACCCTTAACTGTTATCATTACTCATCTTTCACAATGGAAACTGAAGCATAATGTATACACAACATGCACAGTACCTTAACAAAGCGGCAAAGCCTTACAGCATCTTCCCACTTTGAGCTGCTCACATACTCATGGAGGATGGCAGGGTACGGTGATATGCTGATGTGTACCAGGGAGCCATCAGCTTTCCTTATAGTCACCTGATTTCCAACAAAACTCACTATATGGGGGTTTTTACTATATTCACTGTTGAAAACAAACAAAGGAAAACTTACAGCTCTATTCTGCATAATTTTTATATGTATTAAATGTGGGAAATAACTCTAACGTACATAATCTTCAAAATTCACCCCCCATTTAACTCCAAAAAGAATACATATTCAAATAAATATTTCAATATTACATGTAGATGATAGATATACACTTGAAGCAAAATATACCAACAATTTAGAGTGGCAAAAGTTATTCCATATTCGATTACTCCCCTGTTTGGATCCCTGTGGTAAGTAAGGACTGTTCCCCTGTGGAGTTCGTTAGAGGTGGAGCCCGGTGAGGTCTGCTCAGGGAACAGGGCACCGCCTGGGAAGGCTCTCCCAGGACCAGTTCCTTCACTCATCCCCTTCCCTGCCTTCAGTGAGCAGTCTGGCTCCTCTACTGCCCCTGCCATACACACTCTACTGCCACAGGCCTACAGGCAATGGGGCCATTTGATCATGGACTAGAACCTCTGAAACACTGCCCAAATACCTGTTTTCTTTTCCTAAGCTGCCTGTCTTGAGTACTGTTATAGTAACAGAGCGTGAAACATATCTATTTCCTTGAATCTTAAATTATGAAAACAAATAATTTAGCTATTGGTTTTTCAAAATATTTAAAGGAAAAATAGGTAAAAAAAAAAAATTAAGGTTAATTCCAAAATTATTTCCTCCTAGTAAAAACAGATGAAGTTTCAGTAAGGAGACTGGCATCTTTTCATGACTTCAGCAATACTTTTTGTTGTTGTTTTTCTGAGACAGAGTCTTACTGTGTAGTCCTTCTGGGCCTGAACTCACTCTGTAGCTCAGGCTGGCCTAGAACTCACAGAGATCCTCTTGCCTCTGCCTCCTGAATACTAGGATCAAAGGTGTGTGCCACCATGTCTAGCTAATTTATAAATACTTTTTAAATAAACTTTTGTTTTGGTGCTTTTCTTGTTTTGTTACAGTTGTGAACTTAAACACTAAAAGTAAACTCAAAACAGATTTGAAAATCACAGTAAAGCTGAGACCTAAAAATATCTAACTTGCTGCTTTTTGAAGAGTAAGAAATTTTTCTCTTGAGAATTTAGGAATAATTTTCCTGACACATAAAAGTTTTATTTTTTTTAAAGCTTTTCAATAACTTTCATTTAACCTACCTTTAATATCACCCAAAAATTCAACTGAGGAGATGCATACACTCCTGGGACTCTTAGAGTCAATGAAAATCTGTATACTGAGTAGCTGTCATGAGGGTTTATATTGGTGAAAAATCTTCAGACTTTGGTGTAAAAATCACTAAATCACACTGAAAAAGCTCACCTGAGCTATCATTGAATAAGACCAAACTTGAAAACTATACTCATGTATAAAGGATGAGTAAGTAGTCCATATTTTATTTTCAATTTAAGTCTATCCCTTAAATCTCAACAAGCCAACTTTAGCTGAACAATTTACTTAGCTGAGTCTGATTAAACTTTAAAAATATACCCAGAAAAAAGCATGGCAATTAGAACTTTATTTATAACACAGAATCTTGTGTGACACAACATTACCTTGCATCTCTTTCATACAATGTTTTAGGCAAAATTTCTCTGTCCACATAAATGGTATTAGGGTAATACCACACTGTGAATCGAGTATCTTGAAGTCCACAGAGGATATTGCATGTATCACACCATGCCAACGTATGCACCATGGTTCCTTAATTTAAAAAGAATAGTCATGGTTCATTAGTGTCAACAGATATTATCTTTAAAATCAGCTGACAAACAAGATCCTAATTAATGTAATAGGTATATCTCTACTTTTTGCCTATAACAGTGAACAGATGCAAAAACTCAGGAAAATGAAAATACTGAAATGTTCTACCTAGAACAATTCTGTTTTTAATCAACAGGTGTTTCAATGCTGATTTAGTCACAAAACTAAAATTTGCTATTAAAATTGAGTTACTAAGCAGTGAAGAAATGCAGACTAAAATTCACATATTTATTCAAACATTAAGGTAGTTAGTACGTGATAGACAGTCTAAGAAAATTGACAATAATTAAAATTTTAAGTGTGTAGAAATTATTTTACCAAGTTTAATAATCTGTTCTTCTTTCCCAAATCGTTTCACTGAGGTGATGTAGAGGTCTCTATTTTTATCAATGAAAGCAATTTTTCTGTCATTGGTGAGTCCTTTTTGATCCAGAGCAATTTCTGAGATTTCATTCTAAAATTCCAAAAAGTATGTAAGTACTGCATTCATTTTAGTGCTTGACATATGATCATTTAAATTAATTACCAGTACATTTCTGCTCTTAAAGATCAATTAAACCAATTGTGGTGGCAACTGCCTATACTCTTGGCACTCTGGAGCCAGAGGCAGAGGGTGACAAACTCTAGGTCAGCCAAGGAGATAGTACGGGATCCTGTACTGAGCATAAAAACAAACAAACAAACAAACAAATACATCAATTACATGTCAATTATCTACTCAAAATAATAAAATGCCCCTATTAAATTATTTTATTTCTTTTTTAAGCCCAGGGAACATAGATTTAAGGAAAAGTGAGAAATAACTCCCAAGAATGGGACGGGGTCCTAGAAAGGAATACCCCTTATAGAGTAATTTTAGGTTGGTAATAACCACTAACTCAAGAGAAGCACTGAATGCAGTTACTTTGCTGGCAGCCCCAGGGAAGGGGGTTCCTTAAAATATTCTAAAGCAGTATCTACACTGATCCTCTAACCACTGCCCTGTCCTTAGCTGGCAGAGTGACAGAGTGGAGGGATAAGACAAGTCGCAGTATCACATCAGATCTACGTTAACTAAAAGGTTTCCTGTAAAATTTATTCTAAGTAGATTGCCTCACACCTATATTTTAAAGATTTGTTAAGTAAACTTTAGAAATACGGGAATATCTCGTGTTTCTAGAATATTAAAATTTACAGTTTTTTTTTCATGTCCTTTCCTGTGAAACAGAAAATGTGATGTAGACATTATGCTTCCCAAATAAGACCCATAGTCAGTTATTTGGGGGGTGAGGGGGTGGGAGGGGAGTTGTCAGAAAAAGCTAATAACAAGTACATCCAGAACTTATAACTTAGACTTCCAACTTCAAGATCTTTGCTTTTCTATAATAGAATATTTCTGAACTATTGAATTAATCTATCCTATTAGCTAATAAGATGAAGTTTCTTAGAACTCAAACACTTTAGGATGGGTTCACTTCAGTCCAATTGATGAGTGATTTGTATGCTGTCTACCGTGTCTGAAGACTTTGCTAGGAACTATGGATTCAACAAGCATCAAAATTATACCATCAATTGTTGTGTCTACGTTTATATACATAACATCTTTTAAAAAAACACATATACCTTTATTCAATTGGTGGACCAGTCATTTTACTTCATAATATATATTTAAAAGGTAGCCCCTCTGGAACTTAATTCATATTTTAAACAAGACAATAATGCATGGAATCTTTTTTTTTTAAGACAGGGTTTCTCTGTGTATCCTTGGCTATCTTAGAACTTGTTCCATAGACAAGGCTGGCCTCAAACTCAGAGATCCACCTGCCTCTGCCTCCAAAGCACTGGGAATAAAGTTGTGCATCACCAGGGCCCGGTTTTGTTTCATGAACATTAAAGCACTCATTAAGTACTACGATCCTAGTATTTTAAAAATAGAAACCTTTCAAGTCAATTCTCTTTACAAGTAAAGGAGAGAGATGGTGGGGGTTAAGAGTGCTTGCTGAGTGGTCATGAGGACCAGAGTTCCCATCCCAACACCGGCCGCACACATGGTACATGCCTGTAACCCCAGATCGGAGGCAGGGTGCAGGCAGAAATGTCTCTGGGGCTCCAGCTTTTGGCTTACTAGAGAAAACTGATGGCCCAGGCTCATGAAAAAAAGATCCTGTCTCAAAGGAATAGGTGTGAGATGATAGAAGAGAATACCTGGCCACCTCTTCTGGCTTCTATGTTCAAGTACACACGCTTGAACACACATACACAAATAAATATGTTGTAAAATGAGTACTTATCGCCACCAAAAGAAGGTAATGTTGGTGGAGCATTAGAAATAGTTAGATAGATGATTCTGGTTTCTAAGGAAGTTAAATTCAGACACAGACAGTAATGACGTCTGGGTACAAAGAGGCCGGGGATGCTCGTCACTCAGCAGAGTGTCCCTGTCCTCTTGCCCAGCCCCCTCTCTGCTTCTGTTCGAGTCCTCCTGAGCCACTCTTTCCAGTGGGACACGAAAGCAGGGTGAGTTCATTTGGTCCCTCCCTTGCCCTACATTAACTGATAATCATCTAGTAATGCACAGACTTAATTTAGGTGTGGTGGCACATGCCTGGAATCCTAGCACTTGGGAGGTAGAGGCAAGAGGATCAGGAGTTCAAGGTCATCCTCAGTTACATAGTGAGTTTGAGTCAGCCTCAGCTAGACTGGAAACTTAGATACCGAGCCACTGGGCATATTAAATAAACTGATACTGCCAGATGATGTTACATTATATGATGGGTGTTGGGAGAAAGAACATTATGTATCCACATGGAAGGACCTCCAAAAATGGTGCTCTGTGAAGAAAAGCAAGGTGCAGACCTACGGGCTACACTGTTGTGTAAGCAGAGGGAAGACATACCAGGGCCAATTGTCTATGCACTAAGAATCTCTGCAAGGACATATAAGATATTAGTAACTGTGGGACTTACCTGGTAGAATATTAACAATTAGTATGGTAGGGAGAGATTTTTTTACAACATATTTGAATGTTTTTTACATTTCTGACTTACATGAATTTATACATTACATAAATGTTAAACAAACAATGACTAAGGAGGAAATGAAGTAACAATTCAGTAGAATTCCTAAATAATGTTAAAAGCACTCTTATGCTCTGAAATATCACTTGTTTAAAAGGGTAACTGTAATGCAATGTGCTCCTTTCTTTAAGACTAAAAACCAAAAACCAATACACATTACAATACACAAATACAAAATGCTTTGTATTTGATAGAGAATAATTTCCCTCTATAAAACAGTCATTGAACTATAGTCTTAAAACCTAAAGAAAATGCTGCCTAAGGACAAATCAGTACAAAAACTACTACAAGTTTATAAAGACATTTTTATCTGCAAAGTTTAGTAAACCAGAGCATGTTAGACACTCATCACATCATTTAGTCACTTGATGTGCCCTGAGAGTGTCCTGTGTCAGGGCTTCCCTGTGCTTAGTCCTAAACTATGGCATTTTTAGAGAAAATATGGAGGATATACACTCATTTTTAAATATTAAATTAGTCTGTTTTCTTCCTTAAACGATAGCTACTAATTTTAAAAGAGAATTAACTAAACAATGGTCATTTATACTAGACACAGCAAATGTTTATTACCTTATGAGAAAGAAGTTTCCCATCCCCTAAGGGTTTTCCAGTTGATGCTTCAAAGAGGAAGATTACTTGAAAAAAATAGTAGAACATGAGTGTGTTACAGTAAAACCATTGTTGGTAAATTTCAGTGGTGCAATCATAATTCTTAGCAGAATTTAACTTTATGACTCACAGAACCTCTACAGCCCAGAAAATAAGCAACACCAAATTTCTAATTATTAATGAGGTCACATTTTTTATGAAAATAGTAGAACTAAAATTTTTCCTGACACATATTGCCTAATTAAAACTGTTATTAAGGATTAATGGCCCACAGGTTTATCAGTGGCAAGTCTGGATGTGGATGTCATGTTAAATTCTGGTATCTCTGATTTAGACCTGTGTAACAATCATTGATGAAAGAAAACACGCATTAAGTAACTACCTACCATGAGGCCAGGCAATGTACTATTTGCTGTTTCTATAACACATTCATGTGTAAAATAAATAATTTATCCTGGGTTCTTGGCTGGGAGCTTCAAAATCCCTTAACATTTCCGGAAAATAAGAGTTTCTTTGCTATGTTAGAACAACAGATTCTTCATGGGTACTTTCTTTACTACAAGATAAGGGTTCACAATCAGAAAAACCAAGCAGCAATTAATAGGATGGAGCTTTTAGATCTGACTTCTGTGGATGAGAAGGGTCTAGAGATTGAGTTCAAGTGAGTGGCTGATGATTTAACCAACCACACAATGTAATGCATCCCCAAAGTTCAGTCAGAAAAACAAGCAGGGGACATGGGAAGTGACGGCAATCTCAGGAAGAGTACCCTCAATTTGGGGGGTTGTATGGATTCTGAATATTCAGGGTTTGAACAAGATCGCAGTATACCAGGCTTGAGAGGAAATGGATTGCCAATAATTGAGATGCTCTGTAGTCATTAGTTATTTACAAATTGATGGCCTTGTAAAACATTCAACTCATAGCCTCAGAGTACCGGCTGGCTTGCCTCAGAACTAAGCGGAGGTCATAAGCAACCTATATTTATTATAGACACGAACTTTGGGAGCTCAGCCAGTTCTCAGTCCGAGAACTTCCCTGAACTCTTTAGGGAAGGCTTCAGAACTGTGCCTCCCATATTTCTAGTGAATTCCTTAATTTTAGAATTAACTTAGAGACAAAAAGATGAGTGCTATCATGGTTTGGATCATAACTGCCTCCCTGAAGCTCCCCAAAGCAATGCTTACAAGTTCGGTTGCTGGCCTACAACAGGAGGCGCTGGAGGCGAAGGAAGGAAGCCCAGTGGTCAGGGTATGCCTCTGGGGGGATGGTGGGGCCTAGTCCTCTCCCTTTCTCAGCTTCCAGACACCAGGAGGTGAGTGGCTTTGCGCTACCATGTGTTCCCTCCCACAATGTTCTGACTTGCCAAAGGCCCAAAGCAACAGGATCACATGACCATGGACTGATGCCTCCGCTACTGTGAACACCAAGAAACCTTTCCATCTTGTAATTGATTATCTCAGGGATGTAACTGATTATCTCAGGGATGTAATTGATTATCTCAGGGAGAGAAAGCTAACACATGTCTAAGTAAGATGCAGTTTATAAAATATTTACTTTCTATTGGGTGACTATTTTAGAATTATTTAAGTAATTTTCTTTTCAAAGGTTGTTACATAACTTATTTTCCTAAATGCTAGTTAGGAGAATTAACCCCCATGATGAAATGGGGAAGATACTTCAAGATTAAATAATTTTCCTAGATCAAGAGTTGTTTTTAAGACAGGACATTTTCTAGGACCAACAGTTCTATGAAAAGAAATTACAATTTCTGAAAATTCCAAACCACCATATTAGAATGGGTATTACAAAAGCCACAATAATAAAAAGAGAAAAATGTCAGTGAAGATGTGGGAAAGTGGAAATTAGAGTATTTATACACTGCCTGCTGTTAGTGGTAATGCAGAATGGTGTTGCTGCATAGAAAAGAGCATGGAGGAATCTCAAAAATTATAAATAGATCTCCAAGGGAGCTAGGAATTAATCCCACTTGTGAGAAGCACTGGTTTCAGCATCTCAAGGAAACATCAGCATTCTCATAGTCATTACATCACTACTCACACAATGTGGAATCAGTGTGATGAGCAGAAAAAGAAAATGTGGTGTATGTGACTCACAGCATGACAAATGGGGGAGGGAGGGAGGGAGAGATCATTTAGCCTTAAGAAAAGAATGAAAGACAGAAAAGAAAGCCCTTCACATCTGGAAGACAGACTAGGTGAAATAAGGTGGCCACCAAAGGACAAGTATTGCAGAATTCTACCAATGTGAGGTGACCGGAATAATGGATGTTATAGAAGCAGACAGCAGGGCAGTGGTTGCCAGAGGCAGGGGGAAAGAAATGGATGTAAAGTTTCAGTAATGCAAGATGAGTGAGGTCCAAAGCTCTTCAGTGTAACACAGTGCCTATGGGGAACCAGTTACCAGTTTGAGAGCAGAGGTTTCGTGTTAAGTGTTACCACAAATAGAAACAGTAAGAGTGCCTAGCATGGGTGAGACTGCGTCTTGCCCATCTCTCTGTCAGGACTTCTGGTAGATCCTCTAATATGTCAATCATTCCCACCCCAGAGTCTTTCTACTTGTCTGTTCTATCACAGTTAGTGCCCCCCACGGCCACTCCTTCAGAGCATGTGTCATTAGCCATCGTTGCCTTTACATTTGTTTACTGACTTGTTCTTATGTTCTTTACATTTCTTTACTGCATTGTCTATCTTGATCACCAAGATGTTATATTTTGTACTTGTATTTTGAACTTCTAGAAAAGTACTTGGTCAATAATATCAATAAAAGTACTGCACTCAATAATATCTGCTTAATAATTTCATCTGTGGAATAGTGATGCCTTAAAAAAATAGTTTGATGTACCATGGCATTACAAAACACTGGACATATTTATTTTTTATTCATACTAATATGGGTTAGATTTTTACATGTAAGATTAAAACTATTCATACCCTTCTTTTATTTTATTAACTTAAAATATTAGTTGAAAAATACATAAACAAAATAAGTGGCATAATGAATAACATTTACCATATTACTAAATGAATAGAAAGGGAGTATTAAACATGTTTAAAAACTTAAGAATTAATACATATTTTGGAACCATAATCTTGAGAAAAGATTCTCTGATGAATACCTAAAGATTTATTTACCACTGGTCTTAGATATTGAAACAACATATATTTGTTCTGTTAATATAACAATTTTAGTTTTTATTTAACTTGTTTAGAACAAATCATGGAATTCATAATTTTTCCACATAATGCTAACTTACTAAGAGATGAAGAGGGCTTGAGAGATGGCTCAGCAGTTAAGAGCACTTATTGCTCTTCCAGAGGACCCGGGTTCAATTCCCAGCACCCACATGGCAGCTCACAACTGTCTATAACTCCAAGTTCTGACACCCTCACACAGACATACATGCAGGCAAAATACCAATGTACATTTAAAAAGAGAGAGAGAGAGAAAGAAATAAAAGTTCATAAAAATTTCATAGCGTTAAAACTGCATGAAAATTCGACATGAAAAACTGTCAAGACAGACTTACTTTTTTCGTCGGCCTTGTCTTTGATTGCTATAGTGTCGTTACTCAGGGACACGGTCTGCGCATTCAGGATGTCTGTTCTCATCCCAGGAAACTTTGGAGAAGAAATGAAGCGCCCTTCATAAGAATGCAAATAGATACCACCACCATCTACCAGAAGAAAATGTCTAAAAAAAAGAAACAAAAGACTTTTTTTTAAACAGGAAGATACTGTATTTCATTTCTGTATTAAAGAAGAGTTTATCCTTTGGGGAGAAAATCTAAATCCTACAATTATAATAAGTATATAGATGAAGACTGAAATATTAAAAAAATTGAAAGGATTTGTTTTGATTTGTTTTCTGGGCTTTTTGTTTTGTTTTTTTAAATAGAGGTAGAGAAGAAAATAAAAGTGTCCAAAGTCACAAGTCTAGCTACTAAAATTTTGATTTCATTTACATTATGCCCTCAACTCATTTCTTTTCCTGGGAAGAAAACCCCATGCAAAGGCAATTAGAAAATCCTCCAGTTTTCCAGTCATGGATGTTAATGTAAGACGCCCTTTGCTCCATGAAACAGTACGGATATGTATTTCATAATCACTGATTATGTAAAAGATAAAAACCAAGTGCTGGTTAGAGTCAAAACCAAAAATGACTCAAAAAATAATTTTAGTGCCAGCATTTATGAAAGTGAGATGCTTCTGATTTTAAAATTATGTATTAATCATCAGTATGTATTCATATCTAAACATTCATATATTTTTGCAATAGGCATTCAGTTCATTCATATGGCACAGCTATATTCAATGCCCGAGGGTACTTGTAGTTCATTTTTTCTTAAACATTTTATGGCGAATATAGTTTTCTTTGAAAATTCACATACTATAAACAATAAAGAAGAAAACAAAGACTTCAATGTACAGAAATCAATTCAAAATAGATCTCTACCTGATAAAGATAATAACCACAAACAAGGTATGAATATACCAACATTTTTAACTAATTTTTTTTTCAACATTGGGGGTTGAACCTGGGCTCTCCATATATGAGACAAGTGCTCTACCACTGAGCCATTCCCAAAGCTATTGACTCATCCTGTGTCTGTGCGTGCATACAGACATGCATGTACTACAGCTCACCATATGTGAAGGCCAGAAGACAATCTCAGGTGTAAGTCCTTGCCTTCTACCTTGTTTAAGAAAGGAATTCTTAGTACTGTACAGCTGCATACACCAGGCTAGCTGACCCACACACCTATGCAGGTTCTCTTAGCTCCACCTCCAATGTCACCACAGGAAGGCTGGAATTACAGATGTGGGCTACCACACTCAGTTTACTTGGGGTCTGAACTCTCATTTGTGTGGTAAGCATTTTGTCCACGGAGGCATCTCTCCAACCCCTAACTCTTTTTGAATAAACATTTTGTTTCAAATTATTCACTGTTGTTCTTTGTGGGGAACAGAGATTGTGAGACAGGGTCTTTCTATGTAGCCCTGGCTGTAAACTTTTTGTGTAGATCAGACTGGCCTCAAATTCAGAAATCCATGTGCCTTTGCCTCCCAAACACTGGGATTAAAGGCATGTACACGTCTGGCTATTATTCAGTGTTTTTTTTTTTTAATTTTATATTTTATTTTAGTTCTTGAAAATTAGATAGCCAGGACAATAGCTTACAACTACTATTTTGAATAAGACAGCTCTAGTATTATTCAGTTTTAAATAGTATCTATAATGTACATTCATTTCTGTCTACTTATTTTAAAATGCAATTTCTAGAAGTATACAGGCTCAAAGAGCATATACCTCTTAAAATAAAATATATACCATCAAATTGTCTTAAGAAAGGTTACATGGATGGATGTACACTACAACTATATTTGTATTCTTGTTTTCTTAATACTGAAAATAATACTTTTGAAATTTGATATTAAACATTCAAATGTCTAGACACAGAAGTATGTGTTGATTTGAGAACTGCTAATTGCTCTAAGTATAGATTAGTGACTAATGAATACCAAGTGTACATACACACTCTGGTTAATACTTAAGGATGGGTATTAATTTAATTAAAATATTTGGTCCTTATGGATCAGTATATGGCCACACATTACTAAATAAAATGGTATTTTCCAATTTTAACTAAGAGAAACATCATTAATATATTCTTTCTTTGTATCATTACCGAAAGCATTTGTTTCTTATTTTGTTTTTACACTGTACCAAAATCAATTCAGAACAGAACGAATACCTCAGCGTGGGACCTGTCACTTGGAAACTGCTGTACAAAACATAGGGAAATTACATTAAGATATGGTCATAGACCAAACCCTCTGAAAAGGCCTCTGACGACCCAGATAGTAACAGTGAGAACTGACAAATCAGGGGGCGGGGATGGGGGGGGCTGTTGGTAAACTGCTCTTCCCAAAGGCATGAGGACCTGAGTTCAAATCCACAGCACAGAAAATGCTGGGCACAGCAATGTGCTTCATAATCCCAGCACTGGGGAGGTAAAGACAGGTGAATCCCTGGGGTACCCTGGCCAGGCAACCTAGCCAAATTAGTACACCCCAGCCAGGTTCAGTGAGAGATTCTATTTCAGTATGGTACAGGAAAGCCCAGGAGGCCTCAATCCTACACAAACAAGAACAAGCAGCTAAGGAGTGCTGAGAGTGGGGAGAACAGTCTTTCCTCAAGGAAGAGCACGCCCACTGGTTATCCAACACCAAATGGTCAGCCCTGAAAACACGTACATACAAGTAACATCATACAGACAGCAAAATGTATTTAGACATATATGTGTGTGTGTGTATGCGCGAGTGCAGATGCACTTGCAGCACAAGCACTATATGTGTGTGTAATTATATATAATATATACATACACATGCATATACATGCAGCAACAATTAATAAAGAAGATCATGAATTTGAAAGAGAGCAAAGAGGGATAGATGGGAGAGAGTTTGGAGGGAGGAAAGGGAATGGAGAAATGATGTCATTACATTATAATCTCAAAAATAAAAGACATAATAAAAAAGTATGGCAGAGAACATTAGATGAAGACACTAGGCATGAACAAATGTGCACATGCACCTGAATGCACTCACTCCTACCTACACACACATAATGCTCACATACATACATAGGTACATGTATACATGCATGCACATGTGCACACACACCACACACACATACATATAAACACCACAATGATCAACACTACAAGCATTTCCTATCATAAATAAGACATCAGCATTTAAACTTCTCATGAGGAAATACTCTTTCAGTGGGTAAACATCTCTGACTATATAACAAGATCAGAGGCAGGCAGTAACTAAACTATCTTTTATATAATTTTATACCATCTTTTATACCATCAACACATACTTAAATTATGAACATATTCAATAAACTTATAAATAATATATAAATTTATTTGGAACTGTTGGGATAAAAGACAGTTGAGAAGTAGGGCCTTTAGATAGCTGGTCTCTTACCTTCTGAAGAGCAAAATGACTTGTATTTAAAAATTACAACATAATGAAAGCATGTTTCAATTTCATTAAACATGTGACAAAGCTCGATGTTGCATTTCCTTGATTACTCAGGATCATCTTTCTGATGACTATGTTCCTCAGTAACTAAATGACAGTTTGGATCCTCCTGAGAATCTGCTGGAGCTCAGAAGAAGAAGAAGACAAGAAACCACCACACTGTGCCTTTGACTTGCTCGTCAGTCCCCTCCCTGCTTGTAATTGTAGCAGCCACCAGTGCCCAGAGCATCAGGTCCTACTCTGGTTTATTTACAAAAGGATCTAGGCTGGAAAACCTGCTAATGAGCAGTGTGAATGCTGCCTAGGTGACAAGAGAAGAGAGGAATATAGTGTGTGATTCTGGTGCAGAGGTTTTATATACGTCTGTTTTAGGTAAATAGCAACTACATTTCCACTCTTCCCTAAGTCTTATTGCATAGCTTTTCAACACTTGACCTTGGCCAAAATGTGTAGAAGCAATTGACTAGCTTTTCTAAGTTTGATCTCTCATTCAGTAGGGAATCATTGTACTTAATAAATTGATTGACAGTTTTTATTTTTTAAAATTGTGGCTTCTGCCACTTCCTAAATATAACACCAGTATCACAGACACTGAAAACAACAATTAATAAATGGGACTTCCTGAAACAGAGAAGCTTCTGTAAGGCAAAGGACACAGTAAATAAGACAAAATGACAGCCTACAGAATGGGAAAAGATCTTCACCAACCCCAAATCTGACAGAGGGCTGATCTCCAAAATATATAAAGAACTCAAGAAACTAGACATCAAAATAACAAACAATCCAATCTAAAAAAATGGGCTGTAGAGCTAAACAAAGATTCTCAAAGGAAGAATTTCAAATGGCTGAAAGACATTTAAGAAATTGCTCAGCATCTTTAGTCATTGGGAAGATGCAAATCAAAACGACTCAGATACCATCTTACACCTGTCAGAATAGCTAAGATCAAAAGCACTGCAGACAGCTTATGTTGGAGAGGATGTGGAGCAAGGGGAACACTCCTCCTCTGTTGGTGGGAGTGTAAACTGGTACAGCCTCTTTGGAAATCAGTATGGTGGTTTCTCATCAAATTGGAAATCAATCTTCATTGAGACTCAGCTATACCACTCTTGGGCATATACTCAAGGAATGCTCAATCATACCACAAGGATATATGCTCAACTATGTTCATAGCAGCATTATTCATCGTAGCCAGGACATGGAAATAACCTAGATGGCCCTCAACTGAAGAATGGGTTAAGAAAATGTGGTATATATACACAATGAAGTACTACTCAGCAGAGAAAAGCATTATAAAATCTGCAGGCAAATGGATGGAACTAAAAATATCCTGAGTGAGGTAACCCAGACTCAGAAGGAAAAACATAAGTGGATACTAGATGTAAAGCAAAGGATAATCGGACAACAACCCACAACTCCAGAAAAGATAGCTAACAAGAAAGACCCAAAGAGGGACTCATGGATCACCCTGGGAAGGGGAAATAGATGAGATCTCCATGTGTAAACTGGGGATGAAGGGTGGGCGATGGAGGGTAAAGGATAGGGGATGAGAACATAAGGGAATGGGACGGTTGAGCTGGAACAGGGATGGAGGGGGAAAGCAATGAGAGAGATACCACGATGTAGGAAGATATCATAGGGATAGAGAGAAACCCAGTGCTAGGGAAGTTGCCAGGAATCCCCAAGGATGACCCCAGCTTGAACTACTAGAAATAGTGGAGAGGGTGCCTGAACTGAACTGGCTTACCCCAGTGACCAGAGTGGTGAATACCCTAACAGTCATCATGGAGCCTTTCTCCAATGACTGATGGAAGCAGATGCAGAGATCCACAGCCAAACACCAGGCTGAGCTCCAGGAGTTCAGTCGAAGAGAGAGAAGAGGGATTCTATGAGCAAGTGCATCATAATGATGATGGGGAAACCTGCAGAGACGACCAAACCAAACTAGTGGGAACTCATGAAAGCTGGATCAATGGCTGTGGAGCCTGCATGGGACTGGACTAGGCCCTCTGCATAGTGAGACAGTTGTGTAGCTTGATCTGCTTTTGGGGGGTCTCCTGGTGGTAGGATCAAAATCCATCCCTGGTACATGAGTGGGCTTTTTGGAGCCCTCTACCTATGATGGGACACCTCGTGCAGCCTTGACACAGGGGGAGGGCTTGGACTTGCCTCTACTGGATGTGCCTCCCCATGGGAGGACTTGCCTTCTTGTGGGGAGGAGTAGGGGGTGGGTTAGGAGGGGGAAGCTGGAGAGGCGGGAAGAGGGAAGAGGGGGATCTTTGGTGTGTAAAAAGAATGAAAACATTTTCTGAATAAAAAAAAAGTGGTTCCTGGAGTAACAGCTAGTCCCGGTTTGTTCAGGGAATCGCCCAGGGTTTCTTAGTCCCATATTGATTGAAGGACGTGGCAAAAAAACACTACTTTCCAAACTTCAGCCCACAGCCTAGTAGTAGCTCATGAAGACAATGAGTTTCAACCACTATTTAAAAACAAAAATAGAGTGGAGGTACAGCTCAGTCTCAAAGCACACGCACAGCCCTGGATTCGGTCTCCAGCACCATGGAAGGAAGGAAAAGGAGGAGGAGGGGGAAGGACAGTAGGGCAATGGTCAAGTTAGAAGTTCAGTCCTAACTGGGGCACTCTTACATTTGATACAAACTTAGGATAAACTAAATTTGAATAGAAGTGAAGAAGAAAAACAAATGAACAGAAAACAGGGGACCAAGCTAATTCTCCTTTTCAGTGTCATTCTCTCATATTGACACTAAATGTTACTTGTATTGAGCTTTCTGTAACATTTAAGATTACTATCTAATAAATTTCTATAATAAATTTAATATAATAAATGTTGAAATATATATATATACAGACATTTTATTTTCAATATCTTTTTAAGAATATAAAGAAGTTCTGAGAATAAAACATTTCATTACCACTGATCTACTTTGTTTTTAATTCTTAAACACATAACAGAAACAGACTTGTAGTGGGCAGCTGTTCCAGCTTTGACCTGGAAGTACTACCCCCACTGAGGCTTCCATAACTGTCACGCCTACAAGGCAGGGCTGGACAGGAGCGCTTAAGACCCGAGATCCGGATGTGCCGGCTCTCTTGGTTCCTGGACCCTGGACGCTGGAGGTAGATCGAGCAGAGTTCTCCAGAGACACTGCTGGACTGCGCTACACCTTTCCCAGACCCTGTTATCTATCCCTTTATTTGTAAGTTACCCCACAAAATAAACCTCCCTTTCAACTACGTGGAGTGGCCTTAGTACTACAACCAATACAGACTGATCCCAAATGATGATTATATCATTTTGTGAGATTTTTAGAAAGATGTATTTTGCCAGGCATGGTGCTGTACACCTTTAATCCCAGCACTCAGGAGGCATCACTGTGAGTTTGAGGCCAGCCAGCTCTACAAAGTGAGTTCTTGGACAGCCAGAGCTGTTATACAGATATACCCTGTCTCAGAGAAAAGGAAACAAAAAATATCAACAACCTTAGATATGTATATGCATGTTTTTCCTGCATGTATCTAAAGGTATGACATGCATGCAGTTCCCATGGAGGCCATCAGAGAACACTGGATCCCCTGGAACTGGAGTTACAGATGGTGTGAGCTGCCATGTGGATGCTGGAGATTGAACCCAGGTCCCCTACAAGAGCAGCCAGTGCTCTTAATCACTGAATCATCTCTCCAGCCCTTATGAGATGTTTTAAAGAGTGTTTTACTGTTGCATGAGGTATCCAATAGTTAAAATATAAACAAATTACCTTTCTGCCTGGAGAATTAAACTAACAGTTCCTTCTTTGAGATCAAATATAAGTGGTGTATTCCAGTTCTTCGTACTAAAATATGAATAAAAAAGACTTTCATTAGCATTTCAAATACTAAACACATTTTAATAAGCAAGCAGTTACTCATCTTAAATGGTAAGTTTAATTTCACAAATTATCGCATATATATTTCTATTAAAGCACCTGACAGATTACCCTAAGATTATTCACTCACATGTCTGTATCCTCAACTAAAAAGCAGAGATTCTGTGTCCCCAGCAAAAGAACATAACAGGCTTTCAATAAAAGAGCACTCACTGGGGTTATAGTTCATGAACTTGGGAATCTAAGAACAGCCCTTATCCTGCTGCCTACTCCCCCTGTGTTTGGGCAGGCCATCTAACATCCCTGTTCTGAGAAACAACAACACCATAGCATAGGATACCATACCGAGGATGGGTTAGGCAGACCTGGATTAAGTATCAGGCTGCACCTTCTCAGTCACGTGACTGCAACAAGCTTAGCTTCTGTAGACTAAGAGCTATATAAGTGTCTAACAAACTGCCTGATACAGATCAGTCACTGACAAAAGAATGTCATAAGAGCATTACGGCACCAGGTGTGGTGGCACACCCCTTTAATCCTAGCACTCAAGAAGCTGAAGCAGGTGAAGCTCTGAGTTTGGGGCTAGCCTGGTCTGCATACTGAGTTCTAAGCCAGCCAAATCTACATAGTAAGACCTTGATCCACCCCCACACCCCCAAAAGAGAAAAAAACAAAAATAACACGTTGAACATAATTATTTTTCCTATAGCTTCTAGTGTTTTGTTGGATTAAAACAAATTTATTCCTGCAAAGTACTCTATAAATGTAAGCTATGACCATGCTTACTCAATAAAATGACACATAGATGCAAAAATAATTCCTTTTAATAGGATAATATGATTCAAAGACATGGAAATCCAGACAAGAAAACAATCCACAGAACATCAAGCCGCTCACTGGCTTCTTTCTTGACTCTCTGTTGCCTCTCCTACTTCAGTACTCCCGATGTGACCCCCACCTCTCCTACTTCAGTACTCTAAATGTGACCCCCGTCTCTCGTACTCAGTACTCCCGATGTGATCACACCAAGCTGCAGATTCTGATTAGTTGCAGATTTTTACATATTGGGCAGGAACTGGAGCAGTTGTTAATTAAATTGAATATCATTACATTATGATTTACTGGGCCTTAGGATATCAGTGCAACACTATATTTAATATACTTCATTTCTTTATTCAAAATACTTACTAAGCGCCCACCACATGTTGAGTTAAGCATGGACAGACACTAGTAAACAAGACACACAGTCTCTCTCTACCGCCGAATTTATCAAATGATTAAACTATAAATACATCACAGTATAAATGCAAGCACAATTTTTTAAAGTCCTTAACATAAACTCTTGAGGGTATGAGTGGTCACTTGAGTTTTCTGGAGAGTTTAGACAGTAGCGTGCAAAAGCTGGTTTGTGGTAGTTAAATTTTTAAGGATTTTCAAAGCTGACTATTGAGTACATCCATTGTCTAAAATAAAATTATATAAACTTACTATGATAGACAAATTAAGTTCAAAACAAAGGTAACAAACACTCAGGACTGATCACCTCAGCTTCATTTATGCCAGTCAATTATACATATTCTAAGTTTTTACATCGTCCTAACTGTGCAGTGATAGTGTACACTGATTCCAGTTCTTTACATCTGTCCTAACTGTGCAGTGATAGTGTACACTGACTGCCAGTTCTTTACATCTGTCCTAACTGTGCAGTGATAGTGTACACTGACTCCAGTTCTTTACATCCATCCTAACTGTGCAGTGGTGATAGTTTACACTGACTCCAGTTCTTTACATCCATCCTAACTGTGCAGTGATAGTGTACACTGACTACCATTTCTTTACATCCGTCCTAACTGTGCAGTGATAGTGTACACTGACTCCAGTTCTTTACATCCATCCTAACTGTGCAGTGATAGTGAACACTGACTCCAGTTCTTTACATCCCTCCTAACTGTGCAGTGACAGTGTACACTGACTCCAGTTCTGTACATCCATCCTAACTGTGCAGTGATAGTGTACACTGACTACCATTTCTTTACATCCATCCTAACTGTGCAGTGGTAGTGTACACTGACTACCATTTCTTTACATCCATCCTAACTGTGCAGTGGTAGTGAACACTGACTCCAGTTCTTTACATCCGTCCTAACCGTGCAGTGATAGTGTACATTGACTCCAGTTCTGTACATCCGTCCTAACTGTGCAGTGACAGTGAACACTGACTCCAGTTCTCTACATCCGTCCTAACTGTGCAGTGATAGTGAACACTGACTCCAGTTCTTTACAGCCGTCCTAACCGTGCAGTGATAGTGTACACTGACTCCAGTTCTCTACATCCGTCCTAACTGTGCAGTGGTGATAGTGAACACTGACTCCAGTTCTTTACATCCGTCCTAACTGTGCAGTGATAGTGTACACTGACTCCAGTTCTTTACATCCGTCCTAACTGTGCAGTGATAGTGTACACTGACTCCAGTTCTTTACATCCGTCCTAACTGTGCAGTGATAGTGTACACTGACTCCAGTTCTTTACATCCATCCTAACTGTGTGGTGGGGATACTGTACACTGACTGCCAGTCTGTGTCTCTACTCACAGCACAATGGCTAAAAATCCATCGCTGTATAAGTTCTTACATCCTCATAATCACAACCTGCAAATGAGGTCTGTCTGCCTCCAGAAAGCTCCTCATCCAGTGCTTATGAGCACACACTGATGCCAAATGTGTTCCACACCTTCAGCCAAGTTCTTAGTACATTACCATTCTTTGCCTTCTAAGAAGGAGGGCACTGAATGTATTTTCCTTCACTCTTTCTGGACAACTCTGTGTCCTCAGTGCACATTTATGATTACTATAACTCCATGTCCTTACTGAATTCTTTCAGCCTGCTAGCCATCCTGTTACACTGATCTGCTGACTTCCCTTCTGGCTATCCTAAGCCCTGGGCTTTGAGTTAAGATTATACCAAAGTCTTTAGAACTGCAAGTAAACACCGATATGACATGAGATACTTCCAGTTTTAAAAGTGAGTATTCATCTCCGAAGCACAAACTTCATTAGATCTATTTTCATTGCATATAGCTCAGAGTTTTACCTCATTTTCCGCTCTAAAATATGGTGCTAACCAGTAAAGTTTTGAGAAAGTTAAGGTTAAAGCAAACTGTATTGATATGAAAACTTAAAGAATAAATCCCTCATCCTGACAACAACTCTGGATTTTAGGAAATATAAGATGCTCACGAGAACACGTAGCACTGGAGGGACGTTGAGACGACTAAGTGTGCATGGTTCAGAGACGCTTTGATGACCCTGTCTCTGAACTCCAGTAAGTCCACAGCATCATTGAGAACATTACGAACCTAAGCAAAACAAGAAAAAAAGGGGAAAGAAAAAAGAGGAGAAAGAAAATAAAATCAACATTTAAAAAAATCAATAAGCTAGTAAGAGTTTAATATGCATGAAAAATTCAGTGTACCCTTAATTAGCTAAGTATATAAAAAAGATTCATCTAGGCATAAGCTGATATACTTTGGTATAAAAGTCAACTAAGAAAGTACAGATACAAAAAAGAATTCTGTTAGAAATAAATAGAAAAGACCTATAAGGATTTTTAATCTTCATGCCAAAGCAAGTGATGCAGGAATGGGATGAAGTTAAAAATGCTCCAGCGCTGAGACGCAGTTAGAGGAGGGTGACATATAGAAGTTGGAAAGAGACCACATGATTTCTGTCCAAAAGAGAAAGAATATCTCCTTTCTGCTTAGACTTTACTTCAAACTTCAAGTTCTAAAAAAAGAGATACAATTGCTTTCAAAATCAAAAGTGGAGAAGGTATCGGTTTTATTTTATTTTTTTAATGCATAGTAAAGAAGCCAGACCACAGAGGGAAAGTCCTTCCATAGGTGAATACAGGTTAAGAAGCCGGGTGTGGTGATGCATGCCTTTAAGCCCAGCACTCAGAGACACACAAATCTCTGAGTTCAAAACCAGCCTGGTCTACAGAGTGAGCTCCAGGACAGCCAGGGCTCCACAGAGAAACTCTGTCTCAAAAAACAAACAAAGAACAAAAAACAAACAACAAAACAAAACCACACCTGCGAAGGGGAGACTCGAAACACTGGGAAGAAGCCAGTCATCCCACTCTGTGCATAATGCCCTACAGGAGTCTTGAGGTTGCTTTAGTCTGCCACAGCTAGCACCCACGGTCCCTTACATCCAGTAGTGGAGGTCCTGAGCTGGCCTATCTGGAGTCAACCACACCATTATCTTGTGTATCCTGACAACCAGTCCATCGCCACCATTATCCCACAGTCTGTTTTCAGGGTCTTGAGCTGACTTGCCCATTCTTCACTTCTGACCGTGGGTGCCCTGATGGTCAGTCCTGCTGGGAACTAATCTGCCTACACTCATCAGTTCTGAATCTGGGCAGCCACCACTACCCACTGGAAAAGAAGCTTCTCTAGCAGAGTGAGAGTAGCGTGGACCCACTGAGTATTTATTTTCTGCTCCACTCACTTTCCTGGAGATTTCATCATTTCATTTTCTTTACAGCTGAGTAAAATTCCATTGTGAAAAAAAAAAAAAACCCTTACAAACATTTATAGCAGACAAGTTTGCAAGGATTTAAGCATTTAACCGTACTGGTCAAAAGTTCTGAAGTCGATGGACAAACTATAATAATCAAGGAAGAGTGTGGATGAGTTAAGCTCTCTAAGCTCTGGGTGAGATCAAGATGCATGAGGTGGCAAGCATACCCTGATAAAGAAATAAGGAAAACAATGTAATGATACCTGCAAACTAGTCAATCTTGAAATTCTCCTCAAGATGTCATCATTTTTTCAAAAAAAAAAAAATAATGCAAAGCATTAATTAACAATGAAAAGAAAGAACAGGAGGTCATTCTTCTAAGTATGTCTTCAGATTTCTGTGTTCTGAGTGTTTGTGGCCCCCTCACTTCTGTTGTGGGATATTCAGGAAATCAATTTATGCCTTTAAAAAAAAGAGATGCTTGCCACTTTCCAATGAGGACACAGCTAGAACTTTCCAGCAATGAGACAGAGAGTACCCTATTTGGACACTATATCTACTGGCATCTTGGTTTTTGAATTTCCCAACTTCTAGAACTATAAGGAAAAAAATCTGTTGTTTACAAGCTACCCGATTATGGCATTCATTAAGGCCGCCTGATAGCTTGGACAGCATGCTACATATGTGCTCCCCAAATATTATCATGACATGAAATAGCAAAAGTGCATGCACATACACTCTTCGTCATAGCATTCTCAGTTCTAGAATCCTGTCTCAAATATATATAAGCAAAACTATGGAACAACACCTGTGCAGGCTGCTTCCAACAGCACTCAGTAACAGCAAAAGACTAGAAACAGCCCACATAGCTGCCAGCAGCTTGAATAAACCACTATGCATTTCCACATGCTGTATAGTTGGAAAACAAAATGAAGAACTATAAAGTGGCAATACAAGATACAGATAGATAGCATGTTTAGTATGTTATCTTCCATCCAAAAATGAAAGGAAATGCAAAAAATGACTCAGATTCTATCTTACACCTGTCAGAATGGCTAAGATCAAAAAACGCAAGAGACAGCTTATGCTGGAGAGGATGGGGAGCAAGGGGAACACTCCTCCATTGCTGGTGGGAGTGCAAACTTGTACAGCCACTTTGGAAGTCAGTGTGGCAGTTCCTCAGAAAACTGGGAATCGCCCTACCACAAGACCCAGCTTTGTCACTCTTGGGCATATAACCAAGGGATGCTCAATCATACCACAAGGACACTTGCTCAACTGTGTTCATAGCAGCTTTATTTGTAATAAGCAGAACCTGGAAATGACCTAGATGCTCCTCAACTGAGGAATGGATAATATGGCACATTTGCACAATGGAGTATTACTCAGCTGTTAAAAACAAGGACACCAAGACATTTGAAGGCAAATGGATAGAACTAGAAAATATCATCCTGAGTGAGGTAACCCAAATGAGAAAGACAAACATGGTATGTACTCACACATAGGTAGTAGATATTCACTGTAAAATAAAGGATAACTATGCTATAGTCCACAGCCCCAGAGAGGCTAGGTAACAAGTAGGGTTCATTGGGGGGGGACATCAAGACCTCCCTGGGAAGGGGAAATAGAAGAGATTTTGTGAGTGTACTGAGGGTGAGTAGGGATGGAAACATGAGTGATCAAGTTGGGGTGGGGGTGGAGGGAGAGAGTACTGAAAGAGACTACTGGAAGGGGTGGTGCATTTCAGGGTGAGGTAAATACCTGGTGCAAGGGAATCTCCCAGGAATCTTCGAGGAAGACCCCATCTTAGACTCCTAGCAATAGCAGGTAAGTAGCCTGAACTGTCTATCACCTATGAACAGACTGGTACCTAGCCCAATTGTCATCAGAGAGGCGTCATCCAGAAACTGATGGAAACCAATGCAGATCCACAGCCAAACATTAGGTGGAGTTCAGGGAACCGCCCCCAGAAGAGGAGAAAGGATTGTAGGAGCCAGAGAGTTAAGACCACCACAAAAAAATTCACAGAATCAACTAACCTGGGCTCATAGAGGCTCACAGAGACTGAACCGACAAACAGGGAGCCTGCACAGGACTCCTAACAGTGGGAACAGAGGCTATCTCCAACTCTTTTACTGGCTTTTGGGGCCCTACTCCTCAAACTGGGTCACCTTGTCCAGTCATAATACACAGGAAGGTGCTTTTTCTTACTGCAACTTGATATGCCATGGTTTAATGATACCCATTGGAGACCTGTCCTTTCCTAAACAGATACAGAGGAAAGGATTGGGGGAGGGGACGAGGTGGGGGGGGTGGGAGCTGGGAGGAGAGGAAGAAGGGAAGACTGCAGCTGGGATGTAAAATAAATAAATAAATAAATTTATTTTAGAAGAAGAAGAAGGAAGAGAAGGAGAAGAAGAAGAGGAGGGAGAAAAGGAGGAGGAGGAAGAAGAAAAAGGAGAAGGAGAAGGAGGAGGAGGAGGAGGAGAAGAAGGAAGAAGAAGAAGAAGAAGAAGAAGAAGAAGAAGAAGAAGAAGAAGAAGAAGAAGAAGAAGAAGAAGAAGAAGAAGAAAGAGCAATTGGCCAAAAACATAACAATTTGAGCATTAAACCAGGCTGTGGTGGAACTCTCAGGAGGCAGAGGCAGGACAATCTCTAAGTTCGAGGCCAGCCTGGTCTACAAAGTGAGTTCCAGAACAGTTTAGTTACTAGCACTCATACTTGGGTATCTCACAACCTCCTGTAACTCTAATATCAGGGGATCCAACACCCTCTTCTGGCCTCAAAGACACTCAAATATAGGTGCACAAACACACATACACATAACTAAAATAAATAATTTTCAATGAGAATCTCGCCCCCTCCGCCGAGAACCGGGCCCGGGGTTCCCACTGCTTGAGATCTGCAAGCTGTATTCCCACAAGTGCCACTGGGACTTCTGCAATCAGAGACATCAGCAATGACATCAAAATGGAAGACTGTTGGATCTCGGTATTCTCACCCAGTATATGGCAGATCCTGGTAACATTACCATCATGCACTTGCTTGGAGGCGAAGCCACCAGAGTGCCTACAGAAAGTCCAGGGATTCCTATCTCACTTCCCCATGGTTCTCCCCTCATGGAGTTCTTCTCTGGAACTCTCTTGCTTTTGAGGCTGGACATCTTTCAAGTCCAGCACATGGCCTAGCAGAAGTCTGCCTAGAGTTGCACATCTCAAAAGCTCTGGACAACCTCTGCAGGACAGCAGTAGGACCCAGGCATCTACGAGAAGATGAAGCTCTGCATGAGGAGGAAGGGCTGGAGTCGGATTCAGATGATGAAGCAGAATGCGACCTGAGCAATATGGAAATCGCTAAAGAACTCTGCCAGGACTGTGCAGAGACCGAGAGGCCCAGAGAAAAGCGGCAGTGACAAGCAGCAGTTTGACAAGGCGCAACTGGCTGACTATGTGAATGCGGACCACGGCCTGTCCTACAACTACCACCAGTCAGCGGAGCCTCCATCTGAGAGGCCTGGGGAGCAGCACCAAGCCGAGATGAAGCGCTTATATAAGGACAGTTCTCCCAAGATCCTGGCCATGGAGGCTGCTGTGCAGCTGGGCTTTGACAAGTACTGGGACAGAAAGCAGCTGAAATACTGGCCTGTCATTCCCCTCAAGTTCTGAGTCCTGGGCACAGGGTCTCTAAGGAATGCCTCCTGAACACAGTTCCCAGGCTTTCCCTCTTTTGAATGTATTCTCTTCATCTCTCCTGGACATCTTTCAGAGAAAGAGGCCTGTATACCGGCAAGGTGGACACAATCTGTCAGTCACTTGGACTTCTGTCAGCAGGA